GGAGGATGTTTCTTCAATCCTTGCTCGTCTTCTTGATCGAACTGAGCAAGGAGCAGGTGTCTGTGGCACTGTTGCAGGTGCGGTGATGTCCAGGTCGTAACTCACTCCCAGTGTTTCTGTAAATAGAGCCATTATAAATAAAGAAACTAACAATCAAATTCTCCAAAGATCAAACTGTAATGTACAAGGCAAAAAATCAATGTACCAAAGATGGAATTTGCTTCATCTTGTGAAAGCTCCTCGCTTGGACAAGCATCCAAACAATTTAGATGTTGAAGCACCGGTTTCACTTCCTTAAGAAGCTCCTTCTCTGAGCATACAGATTCCGCGACTCGGCTTAAAAGCTTTTCCATCAACTTTATCAGATTTTGATCTGATGGTTTCAGATTGAGCAGCACAAGTATTTTGGATAGTGCTGCGACATATGCCTTCTCAGCGGCAGTCTTCTTCCCCTTGAAGCTTACCATCTATAGGAACAAAAATCAGCAAAAATGTCAAAATAACTTTGTTAACTAGTGTGTTACAGTTTACTGTAAAGTTGAGACCACAGTTCCTAGCTCTTAAACTCTAAAGGGAAAAGAGATTCACAGGACAAGAGATACAAAGGAATGCAACTAACCTCGATGGCTATGCGTATGGCTAACCCTTCTTCCGTACAGTCTATTGGAGGCTGGATAGAATCTTCTGGGGATTTATTGAACTGGCTTTCAGGCTCAGGTCTTGTCTCCTTTTTGTATAGCGGGGTTTGCATCATCTGTAGGACAAATTTGGATGCTTGGACTGCACGCTTGCGTTGAATTGATACAACATATGAAGAACTTTTAGAGTTTCCGTCAATTCCAGGCCACAATGAGCGTATGAGAGGAACAAAAGCCTTTGAAATATATCCCTACATCACATGGAAAAACATTCAGCTGAAAGATAAACAAACACGTCATGAAACCCCTTGATCCAAAGGACATTGTGGTTTTTATTACCTTATGCTTTTCCAAGAGGGAAGCATAGTGCTCAAAGAAGACGGATAAACACTGTTTGAACCTGGACAATAGTTAAGAAGAACAAATCATTAGTGGATATTACGATGACACAAGTTACCAAAACGGAAGAAGAAAACTATCTATACCTCAGTTGCTCTTTTGACTCCTCGCTAAAATATAATGCAATCAGCTTGCCCAAAACAAAGGGATAAAAAGATGCAGGCAGGTTTGGGTACTTCTGTCCAAGAAGAAGAAGTTTTGCAAACCCCTCTCCGACAGTCGCTTTAACCGACTCATTTTCACTGCTCTCTGTGTATGTTCTCCAGTCATCACTATCAAGCCCAGCATACAAGATATCGAGCATCTTTAAGTTCAAATCTTCCTCAGCATTGGACAAGTCAATGGGTACAAAGTCAATGCTCTCATCCTCAAACTGTGACGAGAGATCTTCTCCCATTGCCTTGTCAACTTCTGTTGGGCTATGCCACATCCCAAGATCCACTAGTGCCTTGGAAGCCATAATACTAATAGGAGGAGGGCTTCTACAAAAAGCTACCCGTAGCTGCTTTACTAGCTCTTTACTAGGCTTCTTCTCTAACAAACCAAAAAGACCAAGGCACTTTGTAGCAATCCTCTGCACATCCAAGTGAGTGTGTTTTGCCTGCATTACACAAATCATATGGATTCAACTGCATGATAAGCTGTTGCTTAGCTACTACATAACTACCACTCCTTAAATTTGTTTGATCACTTTTTTTTACAGCTTTTCCATGAGAGAAGAACTCAAAGTCTCCACAAATTTACCTTAACCAGAAAGTTTCAAATTCAGAATTCAAGGCAAAATAAAACAAGTGACGTATAAAGCAGTGAAATATGACATTAAAAAATAAACAGAGGAGAGTAGAAAACATACCCCTGGAAGCAACAAAGCATTCAATATCTCTTCTGGTTCAATAGCCTTCCCTTGCAGTGAATGTAAAGATTTTCCATTTTCCAAGAGAAGACTTGTCAGAGAAAGCATGTGCATCCACTGCAGGAAATCTGCGGTCCTTTCCCTACAGGGTCTCGCTAGTTCTTCAACAACAACAAGTATAACTTCTTCATATTCTCCAGGGGCAGCATGGACTTTCTTAGCTAGTTTGGACACTGCATCAGCCCAATCTTTATCACCACCAAGGTTTATACCATCTCCAATTACAATACTGTTCCCATCTTCATCTAATTCTTGCTCAAAAGGTCTGCGGAGAAGCTCCTGGACAAATGAACTTGCAGTTTTGTGGAGCATAGCATCAGAGAAATCAAGCATTGTGCCCAACAATAATAGCTGCCTCGAAGCAAAGTGATGATTTGGTCCTGAAAATTCTATGTAATCAGAGGATATTCCCAAACAAAATCAACTAAGTTTTGGCATTAAAAACATATTTGGACTCACCAGCTTCTATATGAGCTTTAACTAGATCAACATAATCAGAGACTGTTGCAGGAAGAATTCTTTCCAGCAAATCATTAGCATCTGAAGCTTCGGCAGCATAAACTGCCGCCTCAGCTCCCATCGCAGTAGCAGCATCAGAACCCTTTGCCTGTGTAACAGTTTCATCATTCTTAGAGTGTCCCATATATTAAACCAAACATTATTAGCATAAAAATCATTACAGGAACCACGACTTGTATTTCAAATGCTAGGCACAGCCTAAAGAACCTATTTGCGTTCTCAAACAAAAGGCTATCCAATACTAGCAAAGGTGAAGCAAACTGACAATAGGAGTTTATTATTTTGATAGAATTGATTCTGTAACGTGTTTGTTTGGTTTGAGATCTTTGCAGTAAAGGTGTAACTTGAAATCATAGGACATGTTATTTGATAGACTTACCATCTATAGTGGGGGTGAGAGAAATAAGACAAATAATCACAAGGCCAGCAAGGTTTACATCAAGATAATGCCATAAGATATAAGCATTATCTTGTTTGTGAATCAAGAAGTCAGTTAGGGATTTCATCAAAAGCGTAAACCCATTTTAAGCACATTATCATCCAGTAGAGCTAAATAGATAGATTTTCAGAGTTTGTGGCTTCAAAAAACGTTGTTTGAAGCATAAAAGTACCTAACCTTAGCAATGAAAAGTTGGTAAGTAGGAAACTTACTTGAGCGCTTTTGTGTAATTTCCTACATATAATCCTCCAGTAAAGAGCTATCTCCGGCTCCATAAGTTGGATGCTGGGTGTAGAACATGAGCTCTCATCTAATACAGGTATAAGAATATATAAGAAAAGCAGAAACTGCAAACATGTGCATATATAGTCCAGACTTCAACAGACCTCTAGCTTCACCATCTGCTGACAATATGTACTGTTGGATGCTTTCATCATCGGTGGGCATTATCAATCCCTCACTTAACAGAACCTCTAAAGCCGATTCTGCTACAGATTCATAAGTTTCAACGTCAAGGTATTTCAGAAATTTGATAGGATCCCCTTGACAAGAGTTAGATAGCCATTGATCTTTCATTAACTTCAAACATTCCTTTGAAACGTTTACAGCACGATCAGCGAGCCCTCTCTGAAGAATTGTGGTTCTAAGCTTGATGCTAGAGCAGAAAAATGAAAGAAATACCAGTCAGGAGAAACAGGAGGACAGTAGGGAAAAGGAAATCCAACTTTTGTCAACAAGGCTAAGTGTAGACAGTTGTTAATCAAAAACAATAACATAAAGTCCTATTCAGAGGTCAAATAAAGAATTCCAAGTTCACCTAAGACTCTGAAGAGGAACTTTATTTGCCAGGACAGAGTAAGCTGCTTTGCGTACTGATTCATTAACATCGAGCGTGCAATCAATAATTGCTTGAGTGGTTGCATTTGAAGGAGGCAGAGATAGAACAATTGTTTTGCGTACCTCCTGGAAACATTAAAAAGCTGCGTAATAAGACTATGGCAGGCATGATGACTAAAGAATGAGAATGTGATTTAGGATGTAGTTATGATGAAAAACCAGAAATGGTACAAGATAGAAACTTTACCGGATTCTGTTCCAAAGGAAGCACCTCGAGGAGCAAATCCAGAATGTCACTGTTCTCAGGATCATTCACAAAGCGTGAAAGAGACCTGACAGCAAATGTACGGATGACAGGAACTTTGTCCCGAACACGCAACATCATAGAGTCTATTACATCATCCCATAGTTCATCCGCCACTTCCACCCCATCTGGCATCCGCAATATGATCTGGAAAGAACACACAGTGTGTTTAAAAACATAACATCAGAATGCATAACTGGGGAAGAAGAGAACAAATTCAATTCATAGAAACAGGTCGATTGACATGAATAGATAGAAATCTAAAGGTATCATCACAATACCACAACCTCAAATCACATTCTACCCAATAAATCAATCCAAAGGCCATAAATTTCAATTCCCATTTCTCACATATATCAGACTATGGTCAATACTCCACATAACTACGCTCAAAC